CATTTTGAATCAGACAAGTTTCATAAGATTGGATGGTCTGATTGCTCTGACTTGTGAGGGCCTGACTGTGGTTGACTTTTAGGAGCCAAGCCTGTACCATAAGATTGGAGGGTTTGGTGGCCGTGGTTAGTTGGGTTTTATTTTGTTTCATTTGTCTCTGATTGAGGAGGTCTGAGCAAGTCCATAAGATTGGACGGCCTCTTCCTGTTCTATTCTGAGGGGGTAATTCTCGCTGGGGGCAAAGCATGTCCATAAGATTGGACGGCTTTGGACTCAGGCCGCACACAGCTGGATCAGAGAGAAACGAACCTGGCAGATGACCAGATATGTTCCATAAGATGGGATGGTCTGGCCCAATGCCTCGCACATACTGGAACCGGAGAGGTTATAACTTAGCTATACTTTATATTATCCTATCTATGAACAGGCTAGTCAGGCACGGGTTCCATAAGATTGGATGACCTGGCTATAACTTATCGTAAACTGAAGAGAGTATAACTAAGAGTATAACTAAAGGTAACCTGGGCCGGCTGAGCATTGTTTCTAAGATGAATGGCTCAGCCCTACGCCCCTTTGAAGACTAAGTTCAGAGAGGTATATATAACCTGGATATTAAACAGTTCAGGGCGACTAAGCATTGTTTCTAAGATGAATGGCTTAGTCATGTGCCCAAAAGAAGAGAGAAGTAGTTGTGCAACGTGTTCGTGTATACACAATGGTTGAGTCAGGCATGTTCCATAAGATTGGATGGCCCGACTTTACACCTTATGTAAGCAGGGTATAAAGGGTTAAAGCATTGAAAGATCATAAACTATGGTCTACTAAATTGACTTGGGATGGTGAGAGTACTTACCTTTGTGGTTTGACCTGCATGTGACTGAGTAAGGCTACTACTTGGTCTGAGTTTCAGTTTGACAGGTAGTTGCTTTAGAGGCTCGCCACGTGCTAGAGTGATAAGAGTTAACTTCAGTTTCTGCATTTGCTGAGCTAAGTTTTTTTTACTTAGATCGGTTTTCACATTTTTTGAGATCTTTTGTTATACTTGGCTTTGTATAAATTTTGGTAAGTTACTTTCTCTACGGGAAGCGCTGCCGAAATTTCTGCAAACCCAAGGAGTTAGTCGACTTTCGACTTTTTAAAGTTCATATTGTCTAAAGTTTATATATGACTTAGTAAAAATCTGGAAAGCCTCCTTTTCTAAAGGGAGTGCTGCCCAAATTTTTTGCTAATTCGGGGAGTTAGGCAAAATTGGACTTTGGAAAGTCAAAGACAATTTCTGTTTTCATATTCGGGCTAATATAAATTATGGAAAGACACTTTCTCTACGGGAAGCGCTGCCGAAATTTTCTTACTTTAAAGGAGTTACATTATATTTTGACAGGTAGCGATTCTGGCGATCCACCCTGTATAGGGGAGACTCTGTCAAGATCTACCTTTACTTTGGGCACTGTTTGAGGTCAGACTTAGGCTTAGTTAATTAGGATGATTTGAGTGAGATTGTGATATAGGGATTATTCTCCATGAACTTATAGATTTAGCCGTGGGCATTAACGTGTCTTGTGTTACAGACCATCTTGATCGATTTGATTCAGGACTTGGACTAGTTTCAGCTTGATCCACAAGGATCATCTTCTGTTATCACTGATAACAGGTCGGTTGCCGATTCGTCGGTTTACGATTCAACTCCAATCCACTCTTGTCACTCAACCTAAAGGCTTTAGCCCTGTGGTTTGAATTGTTTCATTGTGTTTTCACCCGGACTTTATTGAATGACCATTTAACAAAAGTACTGAGTATTTATTTTGGGTAGTTGCACAAGAGTGAGGTTTGTATGGCTAAAGCAAGGGGCATGAGTATAGGGGATGGCTAAAGTTGACCCCGTGTAGTGCGTGGACTTCAGGATTAATCTTCGATGTGATTGCAGGTGCGTTTGTGTTTCGGACTCTGGATGTGACTGCCTGCGATTACATACATATATGGCTGAGAGGAGCCTCACTATGACTGTGAGAAGTGATCGTCCTATAAAAAATAAGCCTTATGTGTATATCTATATGTGGCTTGGGTATGCGCGCGGCTTACTGTGATCGTGCGCAAGGGTTAGCCCGACTATGACTTGAGAGAAAAGGGAGACCCCCTTTTGTCCTTTGCTTTTTAGAGATTTTATGGTCGGACGTTGGTCCTAGGCCGAGATTCAAGGTCCTTGTTTAGAACATCCCAAGCCCTAGACTCTGCAGGGAAGGAATCTGTCCCCGTGCAGAGCCTATTTGCCTTGCCTACCGAGACGCTCTGACCAAAGGCCTGAAGTCTCACGGCGGCTGCACGACTATTCCCTCAGCCGTGCAATATCGTGAGGAATTGGACCCTCACGACACTTCGAGTCTGACACTTGAGTGTCATAAGCAGTACTCGGATCCACGAGGGACCGCTTGATTATGGGCACTACATAGTACGCCATCATTGCGACTGCTTGCGTACGTTTACATTGCGGGTCCATATGAGATAGCCCTGCGTCCGCGCGGTTTTATATATTGTCTCGCGCGCGACGCCTATCCGATTTCCGCATCGGAGAGTTATGGGATGGCTACCAAGGGGCTAGAAGCGTTGTCGCGCTGTTTGTGTCGTGTCGTTTCGTGTGTGTGTGTGTTTTATTTTTGTGTTTGTAAAGTGGCGTGCGCATGGTGTGTGGGATTCGTCCTAGTCGACCGATGACGAGTCGCGCTTGGGACTTCAGCCCCCCAAGATGTCGGTTCGCGTGCGGGTCCGATAGGCGTATTACCGCGCGTGCCCCCTATGCTACAACGAACGAGAAACGCCCTCGGCTGGTCCACCTCTGCGATTGCAATTGAGTAGCTTTCGTACTGTGGACTGGTAGCTCGGCGGGGATACGCCCACCGAAGGGAGGTGACAGCTCCCGTAAGGTGGAGGTAAGTTGTGCCTCGTGTAGGCCCTATCCTGTCGTAGGGGCTCGCGAGAGGTATGGCTGGCGCACTCGGCCGGAGCAGCCTAAGGGAGCTCCATTTGTGTGTTTGTGACGAGGTTGGTCCGACTCCTGCGTGACGCGACCGAGAGGGTCCCGTACTGCGATGTGCAGTGTCGGACCAATGCGCTCGACAATGCGGACGGTGACCATTTGGAGATGTTGGGGTGCCGCGCAGACGGTGGAGGGTAGGAATGTCGATGCTCCCATTCGGTGGACCACGTCTGGACCACCCGCAAACCGAAGCTGTGCGTCGACGCATGCCTTCGCCGCTCCGAATTTCGCGCTTCCTTGTGCTCCGAGGGACCTCGGGAGGTCCTTGGGGGTTAGGAAAATTTGGCTGTAGCCACAAGGACGCCACAAGGAAATTTCCTTCTGCTGTTTTCACTTTTTTTTTGGAGAATTGTCCCCAAGGACAGGTGGAACCAGCAATTCCTTGTGGATTTCGGGTCCACAAGGAGTGTCTAACGAGGCCCATAGTCACAATGCCAGCAAAGAAAATAGTTGCTGAGTTGGAATGTGCAATGCAAGTACGCCGATTTGTCATAATTGCATGGGGAGGCCGTTGTCTGTGGTGTCACCGAGAAAGAAAGGAAAAAAAGGCCCAACAGATCGTTTTCAGTAGCCCACGCGCCAAAGGTACAGAAAAAAAAAAAAAACATGCGCCAGCAAAGAAAACAGGCGCCGAGTGGAAATATGCCATGAAAGTACCATGAAAAAAGGGCAAAAAAAAAAAAAAAAAAAAAAAAAAAAACCTGAGCGGAAAAGCTTGCCGCGTCGCAAAGCAGTGAGTTCGCAGCCAGGAGGCTGCGCTATACCGGTTGCATTTTGTCGCGTAGCGAGGACGTCTTTTCAGGAAATGTCGACGACGGCGAAAGGGGTTTATAGGGCGGTAACATGGGTAATTGAAGGGTGCAGTCGCTGTCGTGGCAGAGACCGGTAGGCCGGGTGGTCGCGAGTGCGGTTGGAGGGGGGCAGACCAGCGGTCATGAGAAAAGCGGTTGGCGACCCGTTTTCATGGACGGCGGTCGGTTTTCCATTTCGGGCTATATCGCAAGGGTGCTATTTTCGGATTCAGATTGGGAAGGCCAGGCCAAAGTGGGTTTGGAGGTGTGCAGAGCAGAATGCTGGCGGCAGTAGGGGTGTTCCTATTAGTATTGTATTCGAATTGGATGCAACTTTCCCTTTGGTGTGGGAAGATGCACTCGTTGTTTTTCCCGGGAGGAGTTAGGGCTTCGCCACACCTTTGTCGAAAAGGAAAGAGAATGAATGCATCTTCAGCAGAAAGTGGTAAGATGGATCCGTTGGTATTCATAGTAACTGATGCATCTTGCCCTTCTCTATGGGAAGATGCGGTCGTTGTTTTTCCGCCATCATAGATCAGTTGGCAGGCAGGGGGCAGCGACCATGGTGGGGTGGAGCAGTAGCGGGCAAGCAAGCAAGTGGTTCAAGCCCTGCCCGCCAGCCGGTCTCGCTCACGAGCAGACAGAGAAGGCCTGTCCTCTCCTCCTCTCAAAAAGAACTCCCATAAAAAATGCGCCCTCATTTAGGGGAGAGGGCACGGGTCCACTTCTTTTCCAAAATGCCCCAACTGTTTTCGCCGTCGACATGAACGTTTCCACAAGGCCACTTGATGCGGCCGGGCTGGCAGAGCTCCCTACATCTGCCGAACCGGTGGACCCCACTGCTTTGTGGCAAAGCTTTGGAAGACGATTTGTGAGACCCCACTGCTTTCCGGCAGACGATCTGTGAGACCCCACTGCTTTGCGGCAAAGCTTTGGAAGAGGGTTTGTAAGACCCCACTGCTTTGTGGCAAAGCTTTCGAAAACGCTGACAAATGACGTGGTCACCTTGTACAAGGAAGTGGGGTCCACCTCTTCTTTTTACGTACGGGAAGTATTGTGGGATCAGACCCTTCGAGCTGCTGTGCATGAAGGAAGGAACAGCGGGGCTGGAATGTGGAGCAGGTGATTCAGAGGTTGCTAGCGCAGAGTGTGTCACCTATTCGTAGCWGAGATAGGAAGAGTAGKAAGGGKYCTYTCTCTTCRGCACGCTGCCCGTGGAGAGGAGCGAGAGCACGGCTACACTTGCACACCGACACCCACTCGAGAGGGTAGCCTTCGTAGATGTGGAGGTGGTTGTAGAGGTTGCTGAAGAATTTGAAAACGAAGACTTGAAGTCCTCCCGCCTGCCAGTAAGGAAGAAGAAGCTAGACGTCGAAGCTGATCACAATGGCGCAACCAGGGTTCCCACCAGTCCCCTCCGTTGCCACCATGGCGGCCCTGCTGCTGCTCGCATTCCTAACGTCGGCTATCCATGGACAAGCTGCATCCCCGGAAGCGGGTACGGTCAAGATCTCGGGTTTCGAGTACGCAGGTGATGGCTGCCCGCCAGGGTCTGCGGAGGGGGCAGTATCGGATGACGGAGAAGTAATCACTGTGATGTTCAACAATTACCCTGCGTCGACAGCCAATGCCTGGGACGGTATGCGGAGGAGGTGCACGGTGACGATCAATCTGAGCTATCCGCCAGGTTTCATCTTCGGCTTGGGGATGGTCACTATGCACGGATACGCCAAGCTGGACGCGGGCGTGACCGGCGTCGCTCAGACCAGTCCCAATATGCCCTGGACACCAGGGACGGCTGGAGCCAAGCGCGTCATCGCCGACCCTTTCGATGGTGACTTTGAGTTCACAGACGAGTTCAGCGGGCAGGCGTACAGCGTGTGCAACGTCGTCAGAGACCTCCACCTCAACTTCGAAGTGCGGCTGAATCCTGGGAATCCACCGAAAAGMGGCMTGATGACCGTGGGCTCTCAGGGTCTCAACCTAACGCAGGAGTTCGCCATCAGCTGGGCGTCGTGCTAAGCTCCGGGCGGCGATCCAACATCGTCAGCTTTCCAGCGTGCCACAAGTTGCCAGCGGCTAAGTTTGGCCATAGGCCATATTCACACCAGGGAGTTCCTTGGTGGAATGTGCATGCGGTGATGGAGTCCCGGTGTGGATACGACCCTCGAATGGATAGGCGAAGGAATGCCGGGAGGACTCAGAAGTATCCCCTCGCAGGCTGGCCCGAGGAACTGCGGAGAAGAGCATGAGGTTATGGGGGACCAGGAGGGGGAAACAAGAGGTGACACTGGCTCCGTAGTATGGCCAATGGAGTCTGTGCGAAATGACGAGGATCCGTAGTGACGATCTGTTCATATCAGGACATCTCTTCTTATCAAAACTCTCCGATTGCCTTTGTAAGTTTTTGTATTACTGCATAATTGTAGCTGGTGGAGGTAATCAAGTAGTAGAATGTCCGCGGAGTCGACAGACCTTCCGTCGGTGATGCGGGAGTAACGACTCACGTCCCAGACAGCTTAGCCGAAGCATCTCTCTCTCTCTCTCTCTCTCTCTCTCTCTCTCTCTCTCTCTCTCTCTCTCTCCGCCCCACCTTTCTTTGTGTTGGTGTTTTTGATCTAATGCCGGAGAGCGCCTTTATCTCTTTCTTCTTGGTGTTGCTGAAATATTGACGTCCAGGAAAACGAGAAGGGAGATTTCAATGACTTAGTGATATCATATTGTGTTAGGATTTCGAATTTCGCGGAATGAGATTTTGTTCAAGGTACTGAGCTCGCGTGCTCTCAGGGCGCTGCTTCAATTTGTAACCTTTGTGCTTTGCATGGTTACTCAATCCCTCAGTTTCATTTTTCGAACGAAAACCTTTTTGTTGTCACGGGGAACGACTTACCGACCTCTCGTTTTTCCGTTCTACCTTTTCTGTGTCCCCATTTTGTGGAGTGGACCCTTTATTGGTTTGCGCGTGTCATCTTGTTAATCCTGTTTGCTTTCCCCCTTGCATCGTCCAGGAGCTTCCTTTGCCAATTTGCTCACTTGCCGAAAATCCCTCTCCTCGTCCAGGCCAAACCCCCACCTTCCTGCTCCACTCCGCCGCCCCCCCAACCCCCTCCTCCGCCCGAAGAAGAGTTCAAGATTGCCTTTCGGGAGTCGTCTCTCCCTTCTCCTACGTAAGAGTTTGTCGCCGTGCTTGATGGCTCGTTCACATTGAGGAGCTGGTTTTCTCTGATCTCGTTTCTGTCTGTTACATTTGTCCGGCTCGTGTTTGCAATATTTGTCGCATCTCATTCAGTTCTTTTTTCCTCGGCATTCTTGTCCGTTTGGCTTGTCGCTGGAAAAGACCCATTCACCCATCCTTATGGATTAGATTTCACTCACATACCTTGATTCGTCATTTCTCACCGTGGAGATCTCCACGGAAATCAACTATTACAGATATGACGAATCAAGGCAACCGGGACGGTCCCATTGCGGCTGTCTCCAAGCTGCCAAAGTGCTATTTGATCCTGACCGTCGATCTTGACCGATTTCCGGGTCATGGCCGGCAAGCGGCACAGCAGCTTCGGTAGCATACATGTACATGTACGTTTCCATTTCAGAAGAGAGGAAAGCAGTCGGAGCTGGAACCTGAGTTGTAGAGATGATAGATCACGCATCGGGCGATTGCTCGTGCGGAAAGTCTCTCTGGCAATCCAGGTGATTGATTAAAGCGAGACTACGTGTAGAGATCTCCCAGTGGGCGCTTTCCACCAATTATCCCCTTTGTCTGCATGCTGACGATCATAGACGGCACGCTAAGCATAGTGTGACGTCGCCCCTGGCTGTGATTGCAACTCTTATGCACTCTGGGAAAGCATGAATTGTGCACACACTGTCAGATGGCTAAGAACGCGAAATCCAACAAATATAGGAGCTCGAGAAACGGCAGCGAGATCCCACAGGTTTTTGGGATGGACCAGTTCTTGAGCCCCGGTCGTTCAGATCCGTCCGGTCTGAAAATCTCGTGGTCAGACTTTGGCCGCTTCGACAAATGCTCGAGAACTTGGTAAACACGCTCCCAGTGTGTGGGACTTGGTTCCAGGGATGACTCTAGTGGTCCTTTGAATGTTTCGTTTGCTGCGTCTCAATCAAGAAATTTGTTCGTCAGTATAGAAAAGAAAAAAGGAGAAGTAAAAGAAGAAGCACAACCAGAAATTTGTTCGTCATGTCATGCATCATTCCTGGGGATAATTGGTAGAAAGAGCCCACGCCAAAACCTTTTCGGTTTTGGCCGCCCAAAGTTCGGCCGTTTGGTACTACCGGCCCAAACAACTTTCCTCTGGGTGAAAGGCGCCTTCGCGCCGTGGCCACATCTCCCTGGGCCTGTCTTTACCGGTTTAAGAATGTGGCGCTGTTTCTGCGCCAGATTCATGAACCGGTCGGGCCATTCTTTTTCAAAATCGCGTACGTGGGCCTCATTCTATACTTCAGCGTTACCACCACCGGCCTCTTTTACATCAAAATGAATCTGGCGCTCTTATGCGCCAGATTCATGATCCGACAGGGCCCTTGGAGCGACGCGTGGGCCTGTAGTACCCCACATGCAAGTTATTGGGCCTGTAGTACCAAACGGCTAAACTTTGGGCGCCCAAAACCGAAAAGGTTTTGGCGTGGGCGCCTTCTACCGATTATCCCTAATTCCTGCGTTGGCATCACAAAGTTCAGCACGAGGTTCGAGCCTGAGTTATCTTCGTGGTTTCTTTCCTTTTTTAATTCCTCCTCCTTCCCTCTTCCGGTTTGCACCTCCACTATCCCTTCCCTTTCCCCTATCTCTTCCTCTTTTTGGTCTTCCCTCCCCTTCCCCACTCATCCTCCCCTCTTCCCTATTCCCGCCGCGTGTAGTCTCTCATCCGTGATGTGCTTTCTAAGAATTGGTTCCTCCTTTCCTCACTCCTATACCCTGTGTAATTGATCTCGCTTCGTATCTTTCCTCATATTACAGAACGGAGTGGCCGGACTTAATTTTATGGTCCTTGGATTTCGTTATCTTTAGGCTTCGTGTTCTCAGAATCTTTGTGGAAGTCTCCTATGGTATGTTACGTTATGCCATTGCTAAATGCCAACGTGATGATCCGTGGAGAAGGGGTAGGAATTCCAGACGGGATCAACCGTATTACAGTATTGTTATCTTCTCGGTCTGTGCGAAGTGCGGTTCTAGAAGAGCCTGCGACTCTGCAGTTGCTATGCTCTCGTACTCGACGATCAGCCAGGAAACGCCAACACTACCTTACGTTATTATGCACCCCCAGAAGTAACAGAAAAAAACGCTAAAATACAAAGGAGGACAGATGGACGGAGGGTTCGGTTGGGGAGCAGGAGAAGATAACGAGGAGGCAAGGCCCTGATATGGAAGACAAGGCAGTGGAGCATGTAGTACCCAGAGCACATACGAAAGATGCACAAGACCACTCGGGACACATGAGTGCCCGCGCACGCACGCACACAAACATACTCGCGCAACCACACACAGGCACACCCACACCCACACCCACAGCCACACAGGCGCACACACACACACACAGGCGCACACACACACACACACACACACACACACACACACACACACACACACACACACACACACACACACAGTGTGGCACAACAATGCTTTCTTGTTGTGGAGTTGTGTACAGCAAACATGACAACGCACACATGCTATAATTGGTGGAAAGCGCCCACACCAAAACCTTTTTGGTGAAGGGCGCTCAAAAACCAAACTGGAAAGGTGTGGGCCCCCACTCCCGAAACGGTTTTTACTCCGCGTGGGGGCTTTCCACCGATTATCCCCCCATCCGCCCCTTCCCCCAACAGACGTGCGCACACACAAACACAAACACACTACAAACACACACACCACAAACGCACACTACAAACACACACACACACACACACACTCGCGCGCGCGCGCGCTCACATACGCGTACACGTACACACACACATGCATGCACACACACAGACACACGCATGCACACACACAGACACACGCACACACACACACACAAAGCACCGCACACACTAACAGGTTAAGGAGGATGGCAAGTAGCGCTGGACATTGGACAGCACTGGAAGTCATAGCTTAAGGACCCCGGAATTCGAGGATGTATGTCCTCTCCAGCGCCGCTATCTTTCTATTTTTCTATTTTCCTTTTTTTTTCCTCCTATTTTCGTTTTTCTGTGTTTTTGTGTTTCCTTCGTCTTTTCTCTTCCTTTTTGTTTTTTTTCCTTTTCAATATGGGGAAATTTGTCAGCCGCCCCTGTAATTTCCATTATTTTGCCTCGCGCCCCTCCTACGGACCACTTTCCCTGTCGTGGCCCCTGGGGCCTCTGAGCTTTCCTGCATGCCCCTGTCAGCAAGGGGCGCACCTTTCCGCGGTGCCCTTACTGGAGGGCCAGTCCCATTTCAGTGGTCCCTCTGCAATATGCCGTCATGAGCAGCATGCATCTTTTGGTCATGCCCCTGAGTCGGAAATTCGGATTTGAAGCAAGTGGGTTTTGTGGCGCTACCACAAAAAATGACGGTGTGTGTGTGTGTGTGTGTGTGTGTGTGTGTGTGTGTGTGTGTGTGAGAGAGAGAGAGAGAGAGAGAAAGAGAGAGAGAGAGAG